CCCCTCCCCCTCCTCCTCCCCCTCCTGAGGACGGGGGTGGGGGGGCCGGCGGGCCTCCTCCTGAAGGAGGTGGTGGTGGGGGGGGAGGCGGGGGTCCTGGAGGAGGTGGAGGTCCAGGGGGAGGAGGAGGTGCAGAGGCGGGGCCAGGAGCGGGAGGAGGACCAGGAGGTGGGGCCGGAGCGGCAGACACCTGTCTCTCTCTCTCCTGTCGCTCTCTCTCCTGTTGCTCCTGTCTGAGGAGACACAAAAAACAGCACCTTTAATGAGAATAACACGTGGGCGGGACTTGATTTTAGTCATCCACTGATTGGATGGTGAATAAGAGGGATCGATGACATCAGCTGAAAATGAGAGTCGTTTCCAAAAGTTTGAAATAATTAAGATTTAGCTTTTTTTTTTTTGAAAGAAGTCTCTTCGGCTCACCGAGGCTGCATTTATTTGTTCTAAATACAGCAAAAATTGTGAAATATTATTACAATGTAAAACAGCTGTTTTCTGTGTGAATCTCTGTTAAACTGTAATGTATTTCTGTAATGCACAGCTGTATTTTCAGCATCATTCCTCCAGTCTTCAGTGTCACATGATCTTCAGAAATCAGTATAATATGCTGATCTGCTGCTCGAGAAACATTTCTGATTATTATCAATGTTGAACACAGTCGTGCTGCACAATATTTTAGTGGAAACTCCCCTCCCCCTCCTCCTCCCCCTCCTGAGGACGGGGGTGGGGGGGCCGGCGGGCCTCCTCCTGAAGGAGGTGGTGGTGGGGGGGGAGGCGGGGGTCCTGGAGGAGGTGGAGGTCCAGGGGGAGGAGGAGGTGCAGAGGCGGGGCCAGGAGCGGGAGGAGGACCAGGAGGTGGGGCCGGAGCGGCAGACACCTGTCTCTCTCTCTCCTGTCGCTCTCTCTCCTGTTGCTCCTGTCTGAGGAGACACAAAAAACAGCACCTTTAATGAGAATAACACGTGGGCGGGACTTGATTTTAGTCATCCACTGATTGGATGGTGAATAAGAGGGATCGATGACATCAGCTGAAAATGAGAGTCGTTTCCAAAAGTTTGAAATAATTAAGATTTAGCTTTTTTTTTTTTGAAAGAAGTCTCTTCGGCTCACCGAGGCTGCATTTATTTGTTCAAAATACAGCAAAAATTGTGAAATATTATTATAATGTAAAACAGCTGTTTTCTGTGTGAATCTCTGTTAAACTGTAATGTATTTCTGTAATGCACAGCTGTATTTTCAGCATCATTCCTCCAGTCTTCAGTGTCACATGATCTTCAGAAATCAGTATAATATGCTGATCTGCTGCTCGAGAAACATTTCTGATTATTATCAATGTTGAACACAGTCGTGCTGCACAATATTTTAGTGGAAACTGTGATACATTTTATTTTTCAGGATTCACAGATGATTAGAAAGTTCAAATGAAGACAAACTTTGGTTTGTGCAGAATAAGGGTAAATCAGGGCTGATTGTCATGTGATGATGAAGATGATGATGATGGTCGTACCTCCTCTTCTGCTCTATCTCCTCAGCGCTCGGGCCGTTCGGAGGCGGTCGAGGAGGAGGAGGACACGCACCTGTGAACACAAACCAAAAACTCTAAACATACAGGTGTTTTTTCACGTTTTAAGGCGAGACGCTACCAGACAAATCAGTGTGTTTTCATGCACTGCTCAGTTTTTTGCTCTATATCGTGTCTCTTCTTTCAGACTAGTGGAAAGAAAACACTCCAGATACACATTTAAGTGTTTCTTTTATCGCACTTTATCTATTTGCATCTCTAGATTTCAATCCATATCTTTAAAAAGTTTTTTCTCTGACACACACCACACTTTACAGTTTTACTCCTCTCTGTATTCTAGGTTTGTTCATATCTCATTCGCACTGATTTAGAGCACATTTTATGGTCTTCTGATCCTACAGAGCTCTCACCGGCGTCTCCGCTGAGCACGTCGAGCGCGTGCATCATGCCGCTGGTGAACTGAGCCGCGTCTTCTTTACTGCTGAAGTTCAGACCCCAGACCTGCCGCGCATCACGCCACTGGTGGA